ATGTAAATAAGGAAATTAATGTCCATTCCAAGCATTGATAAATTTGAAAAATATTTTGAACTCGCTAAAACATTCCGCGAAAATTACTAAACATTAGGAGAATCATAACTCAGTAATCAAATATGAAATTCGGAGCATATTAGTCCCTTTCTATAACTAAAATGGCGGTAAATTAATTATCGTCATTCTACATCAATTTAACCCCAACGCATCAGACTACGGGCAATTACGGTTGTGGAAAATCATCATTCGCACCTTCCACACCTCACAAAACCATCGACCCAACTAAGATTCCCTACGAATCATCCAAAATTTCAAGCTAAATAATACTTAACTTTATCATATTATTACTGAGCATAGAAAATTCCTGATGTCACTGGTTCAACCACTCGTACCAAGATGATGATGTACCTTAAGCAAATTGGAAGAAAGATAGGAGGATAAATGGCTTCCTGATGAGTGGTACATCTGGTAAGCTATAAAACTCACAACTCTGCGATGGCTCGGATGGTGTTTTGGTTGGTAGAGGAGAGACACTGAAAATTCTTCACGAGCAACTCTTACACTTCTAGTGGAGACTATGTCATTCCTCTTTAAAATGTTCTATTTGTGTCTAAGATGAAAACAAATCTACTCTCGGTGAGTCAATGTTGAAAATGTTAGAAATTAAACCAAATTAATTGGAAATTGTCAATTCATTAAACAAGTTACCGATGACTATTCGACTCCCACGACCGGTGCACACATTTAAAAAGAGTCTTTATTGTAATGTTGTTTTCGAAGAGTCTATTAGAGTTTCTATGTCTAGTTAATGTTTTGTAAATTCCCAAAAAAAATCTCCTTGGAATGGTAGATATATTTATGAGTCAGTCTTAGAGTCATGTATCAAGTTTATGTATAAGCAAGTCTTGTAAATATGGATGATAAGGGGAAACTGATAAGGAGTTACCTATAAAGATGAACAAGGTCTCTTTGTTTCTTTCTCTTGAGTTGTGTGAGTTGTGAGTGTTTTCACCTTCAAATTTATCCCAACAAATTTGGTATCAGAGCTGCGTCTCTGATGTTCAATAAATTGGATGTTTAACAGAAAAGTGATCCATTTTTTAAAGCAATGCCTAGAACTATCTGGTCTAATAGTGGGTAGTTTTTGGTGTAAAATGTCAATATTATAGAGCAAATGAAGTACAACAGCTTAGGGGTATCCCCCAGCATTACAAATGGTGCTAATAGCTCGAGAAGATGGAGGTGGGAAGTCTCCACATAGTAGCCAATGCAACATTTGTCTGAGAAGGTCTAATGTTTTGGTAGAGTGAAGCTCTACCTCTTATATTTTTACGCAAGTTAACCAAAATAATATGGATATCAGTTGACTTGTTTTGAAACCGTCTTCGGTTGCGCTCCATCCATATGCCATAAATGGTTGCTAGAAAGGATACCTTAAGAAGTCTAGCCGCCAAATCTTTGCCCTTTGTTGCCCTAATCATCCATTGAAGTTCCTCATTCTATCCTCCCAAAGGATGCCTAATCCCCTGTTGTGCAAGGATATTGCGCCATAAGCTGCCTGTCCACTCACACTAGAAAAGTAAATGTATTCTGTCTTCTATACTGGCCTTACAGAAGTTACACTGAATATCAATTGAGGTCATCCATTGGACGACGATTTCTGCCGTCGGTGTTCAAGTTTCTTAAGGAGTGGTTGAATTTGGTGGTAAAAAAGGAGCCCACGAGAGTGTGTAGAAGAATCTAAAATAATCTCCAAATTGCAAAATTATCTTCTCTATGTCAGTGGAATGGCTTTATAAATAGAGTATGTACTCATTCATGTAATCTTGTGGGGAATGAGATCATAAATCCACATCGTTAGCTCCTCCACCAATACTCCTCCATCAACTACATTTGTAAAACTATTATGTCAAACTAATGAAATTATATTTTCCTTTATCCCATGACCTACATCTGGTTGTTTGCAGATGGAAACAGAGATTACACTCGATACACTCCTATGCACAAATCACGCATATTTGCCTACTTCTGGTCAATCTTGCCTTCAAGTGCCAAATGATGCTCTCGCCCATGAGAATAGTTCTATTGCCAACTCAACCTTATGTAGTGCCGGTGTCATCAGTGGACAAGACCAAATGCAACATATAGACATGAGCGACGATGCCATTACCCAGGTGGAACCACTTCTGCAGGAAATTCAGTCGGATGTTGACCAAAGTCAACCTACTGAAAGGAGTACATTATTGTTAATGGTGAGTCGGGTTAGTAGCAAGAACGTGTAGTCCAGGTGATGGTTCAACTCAATGCGTGACTAATGATGAACAACATCAAAGAGGTGACTAGACCAGAAGTTAGCCATGATATTGTGGGGTTCTGGCAGAACTAAATGTGTAATCGCTCAAAATGAGGCATATCTAAACCAAATCCTCGCTATGTATGCATACAGAATGTGCCTCTTCCATGATACCGGTAGAGCTGGACTGTTGAATCTGCACTGAGACATCTGGGGTGGACTGCTGCAATGCATGAGGAACTTGAGGCCCTTCGTGCCAACCATAGGAAGGAAGGAAATGAATTTCATTGGCTCAAAATGGTGTTGAAGACCAAACTGAACCCAGATGGAACCTTGGATCGTCTTAAAGCACATCTTGTTGCTGAAGGATTTCATCTAGTACCCAGAACACATTTTTCTGAAACATTTCCTCAGGTCGTAAAACCTGGTAGCATCCAAACTATTCTCTCTGTAGCCATGGTCCAGAAGTGGAGCATCCGCCAACTTGATGTGAAGAGTGCCCCTTTTTACATGGATACATTCACAAACCAGCTTTCATAAAGCAATTGCCCGGCTTTCTAGATGGTAACTTTCCTAATCAGGTCTGCCACCTGAAGCACGTTCTTTATGGTTTGAAGCAAGCACCACGTGCTTGGTTTGATATGCTCGGTAATTTCCTATTGAGCATTAGTTTCTTCTGTAGCTTCACTGGTTCTTCGTTATTTATTTGCCACTCTAATAGGGGGACTTTTCTCCTTCTTATTCAAGTGGACGACGTGATTCTAACCGGAGACAAACCTGTATACATAGAGTTGTTTGTTCAACGCATCGGTGAAGAGTTTGCCGTCAAGGATGTCAGGCCACTTAAATATTTCTTGGGCATTGAAGTTCACACATCGCAGGATGGTTTATTCTCGCTCCAATCTAAACATGCCAGTGATATTCTATCTCGTTCTCAAATGACAGGTTGCAAACTGATTTCCATTCCATTGGCAACAAAGGTCAGACCAACTTCTTCAGATAATGATCTCTACCCAGACCCAACACACTACCGAAGCATTGTTGGGGCTCTTCAATATATGACTTTGACTAGCCAGGATCTCTCCGATGTGGTAAAGTATGTGTGCCAATTCATGCATTTGCCGACCGTTAGAGATTATCGTGCTGTCAAGCGTATGCTTCGCCATTTAAGTGGCACTATCGGTCAAGGTATGCGAATTTTGCATCAAAGCTCACTTAACATGTATGCTTACTCGGATGCCGATTGCTCGTCAAGCTTTAAGATGCAATTTGAGCCTCTATATGCTTCCGGGTTCCACTTCGAGGGGGAGTCATAAGAAAGTAATTATGGCTATGAATGTGCATCATGTTTCCCTGATGGTCGAATAAAATCTTCACAGATTTGACAGAATGGAGAAGACTCCGCTCAAGCTACATTGATCAAGCTTGATTAATCATATTCCTCCATTTCTCGTACCTTAGTAATTAATTGAACTGTTTATTTCTTACCAACTTTGTATAAGTGTAACTTCCTCTCTATATTAGTGAGATTCACTCTCTTTCTTCTCACCTTGACAGAAAGACAAATCCTTACTTTTCTTATCACTAATGACATATTGCACTTTAAGTAGGTCCGGAAGAACCAAAGGTGCCCAAAAAACACAATGGACGACCGTGATTCGTGATCACGAGACCTTATAAAGCATTGACCTTAGTTTTCCTCGTAAATTTACAGCTGGGGAATGACTGCCGGTCAAGCTCGACATAATGATGAGAGGTTACATGATCCAGTGGTACCAATTTTTTTATTGGAGTACCATGTCACATGCTGCGATACGTGCAAAGAAAACTCCGAAAGCGTGCATGGGGTCGTTCCCATGTGCTCGTTGTACTGTGTTTGTCATGAATACCAGTGACTAGAACCCGGAAAGATCCATTTCTCTAACTACTGCCAAAAATTCTGTTTACTTTGCATCATTGAAAAAGAGTGAAAGATAAAGGAGCTTGACCTAATGTTAGGAAGGATATGATTGAACCATGTTAGATTGGAGCCCACTCGTGAAGTGGTCACAGCTTCACAAAGCATCTCATTGAGAAGGAAACCCGTCACTATATATATACCTTCTTTTGGATTCATCTGTAGCATAAAGAGAACACTCCCGCCTCGCCACCAGGAGACCTCACGAGTTGCCCACATCTCCAATTGCGAAAACATGCTTATCGACAAAATATCTAATTTCCGATACTATTCAGATTTCGGTTAGTTTCAGTTGCTTCGCTAACTCACATAATGAAGCCCAAACAGCACTCTCTTTCCATCAGGGCCCCCCCTTAGGAACGAGTTAAATTAACATGTACCAAATCATTTCAATCTTGACTAGGTTGAACTGTCAAAGTACAAGTTTCTTCATTTCGCATTTGTGAGTCCGGACTGTTGTTAACACATGAAGATTTTTCTTCATCATTTCGGCCGAGCAGCATTGGCCTTAACTAACCCAAGCGGGCGGGTCGATGTCACATTAATCGGAGTCAGGTACGAGCTCATCCTCTTACTCTTAGCAGACCAAATCAACAGATGCTACATTTACTAGGACATTCTATCAGAGAGAGAGAGAGAGTTTAATGCATTAGATATAGATGAGGCAAGCCAGATTTGCACAAGTCATAAGAATGTATGGTGAAAAAGAGAGAGTTTTGACAGCTAGTCAAAGAGTTTCCCAGAAGATGCTCATCAGATTGCAAAATTAGGTTTCGGACTGAAATGTGAACCAAAATCTTCAAGAAATACGGTCCCCACTCCTAGTATCCGAGGCATATCATTCATTTCATTTTCGAAGCAGTCCTTCTTAGTATAAAAATTACTCGGTATCCTAATTGTCTTTCGTCTTTCATGAGATGAACCAATGCAAACTTCAATTCCAACTGTTCTGTGATCATTCTCTTTCTCTTCTCTTTCTTTGTAGATGGGAGACACCGAAGTGGACCGAAATGACATGTCTAATTCAAGAACCACCGATCGTGCCGAAGAAAGTAGCTGGACTATGTATCTTGGGGATTTTCTGATTGACAATAAGAAGAAGAGTTCCCTAATTTCTTCGGAAAACAACAGCTCCTCTCTGGTCTCCGACGCTACTTCTTCTATCACAAGGGTGTTCGCCGATGCCACTCGGACGATCTCTTGCAAAAGAGTTAGTTTCAAGAAGAAGGAATCGCGGGATTCGATCATCCAGGACGCTTTAGAGGATACAGCTAGTTCTCTAAACTGCCCTAAGGTTAGGTTTGCATGTATACATATTCTGCTCAAGGACGTGCATTTGTGTGAGGTCATTTGAATGGATTAAAACTAAAGTACACCGTCTCATCTAGTCCAATTTCTCAGACGAAACAATGATTTTCCAGATCATGCCTAGGTATGCAATAAACATCCAATATATATTCCTACCGAGGTAGGTACTAAAAATATGTGAAGGTTCATGACTTCTCATTCTGCAGAATCCTCCATGCATGTCTACTGTACTGTCAGAATATTGTTTAAGCCTAAATTGCACAGAACATTTCGGGCTTGCTCTTACAGGCTAAAGAAAGCACCTTAGATCGGGCACATTTGAGAAAGGATCTCGTTCTTATTGCAAGAGATGATGTTCGCGGGGCAATGAAGGAATCCAGTCCTCGCTTGGCGCCGCCATCAACCTATGGTGGTGAAGCTCAAGTACTCTAGGATCAGAAGTTAATGATGGGAATGAGAAAGTCATGAAAGTCTTTGAAAAATATTCTCAGTTTCATCACTCTCATGTACTCTTGCCTATGTATAAACCGACATGATATGTCCCGGTATAGATGTCGCGTCATTTTCTTCTTCTTATGTTGTTTTCGCGGCACTTTTCATTGGAAGAGCAGAGCGAAAACGTGTGGACCTTGAGGAGTATGCATCTGCATCTGTGCAGTGTAGATGCTTATCTAATGTCCGAGGTATATAAAGTTGTTTTGCATGCGTGTGGCAATCATCTCTCCGACGAATTACTATTCCGATAAAAGGATTGAATTTTTTATTCCATGATAGTAGATTTCCGAAAAAGTTGACAAGTGTAAATTTCGGCATAGACACTAGAAGTGCCAAAAGTTGCATTTTCCCGAATTCGAAATACTAATTTGGTTTTCCCCCAAAATTAACAGTTGAATCTTGCAACAAAGAGCAGAAGCCCAACGAGCAGCTAAAATTCATTTCAACGAAGCTTCGGATTTGGTGGACGTCATTGAGAAGGGGGCATTGGGTTTTCTCAGGGAGAGCAGTGCAAAGATTTTAGAGAGAAAAGAACACGGCTAAAACATGAAGCTTCGGATTTTTCTCTAGGCAGTCGCCTGAGAAAACCCAGCATCACCTTCAAGCGATTCTTGCATAACATCAGAGTGCCCCGTCTCCTTTGCGGTAACAAGAGCTTTGAGCGATCCAAACCTCGATCGAATATTGCTGTTGGACTTAGACTTCGATCTTCTGAGTCATTGCCCGTCGCTGCCTGTCACTACTCTTCAGTGCCCACTGTCGCTGCTGCGTTTGAGAAGCACAGCGAATGCTTTGTTTCTCTTTGTTTTCCGGCCGTGTAAGCTTGAAAAGCTTCAATCTCCCTGGTTCAAGCATCGTCATTAAAGTCGATCTTAATCGGAAGAAGCTTTGAGCACTTCCTCCTACCATCGCAACCTTCAATGACGACTTAGATTGTTTTCCGGTAAGGTAGGATTCAAAACCTTTTGACTCGTTTTATCTAGGATTAAGAACAAAACGCAAGCGTTGAACAAAGCTTCACAAATCTGTCTATTTTGAGATGGGCTTTGTGCAACGTAGTTTAGGCACAAACTTGCCACCTCAAAGTCACGTTGGACTCGTTTTTAATATAAAAATGCCATATCAGATTAAACATTTTATTATAAAAGTTATGTAATAATTTTTACCGGAATTGATCTCTGGAAGCACTTAAGTGATCATTTTTTAACGTGAGAGTGTTAGTGAAAACGCGAATTTTAATAATAAACCTCCAAATGACCTTAATGTTGATAATATTGAAGAAAATGGTGGCGATTTTGGACATGAATTAGATTTGAGACTATAGTGAAAATTTGAGATTTTTGTAGACAAAAAATATTTTAGGCAAAATTAGAACTAGATCTAAAGTTGGGAGTTTTTTGGTCGAAAATATTAAAAATTTGGTAAAATTAAGTTGTATCATAAAACATGCAAATAAAATTTTTTAAGGATAAGAAAATTGTCATGTAAGAAATTCAAATAAATGTCAATAAATAACTCAAATGAGAGCCGATAAACCAATTCTATTAAGTTACCAATTTTTATTTATCTTGGTTAGTAACCTCTGATATCTGCAAACTCTTATTGGAGTTTACCAACATAAATTACAATGACTCGCCAACTTTTCTCCATCAATTAGTACAAAAATTTGCTAACTCTAAACCATAAAAGGTTAGTAATTTAATGAAATTAATAACAATAAGTTACCAACAAGATACTTGGAAAAAATTTCATCACAAATTACTATTAGAATAGTTTTTTTTTACAATTATCAATACTTATTGAAATTTATTAGCACACAAAAGATACACTTTTGGGCATAGAATAATAAAACTCTACTACTTTCGTAATATTTTTTTTAAAAAAATAGAAATTTGTAGGATTTACTACATGATGCATCACTTGATTGAGGGAAAAATTATCCAAAAAGTCATAAACCTATTGCACGTTGGCCAATTCAGTCATAAACCTTTCAATTTTGTTAATTGATCCTTAAACCTTTTCACATTTTACAAATTGAATAAATCCGGACAATTTTAACTAAAAATTGCTAGTGTGGACATAAGTAGTGCCGCATAGTACAATCAGCATTGACGTTGATAATTTTTTATTACTTTTTCTTTTTCTTTCTTTTATTCTCTTTTTTTTTTTTACCAAATCCAGCAAGAGTCACCAACTGACTCTCGTCGATCACAAGCGAGAGCCGACCCCTTGTCAGCCATCATTGGCCACTACGCAAGGGCTCACAACCCTTGTCGATCACTAGGCAAGGGTCACCACCCCTCGCTCACAGCTGGGCGAGGGCTTGCCAGCTACCGGTGAGGGCTTTGCAACCCTTACCTGCAGCCAGAGAGTGCTCGCAGGCCCTTGCCCAACAGCCCGAGAGGGTCATTAGGGCCTCGGTTGTTAACAATAAAAAAAATAAGATAAGAATATAAAAAATTCAAAAAAGTTCAAAAAAAATATTAGTAAATATTACCGATGTCAGCGATTGTTGGCCAAAATTGGATGGATGGACTCAATTAACAAAACGTAAAAAAATTTAAGACTCAATTGGCACAATTAAAAGGTTTAGGTTTGAAATTAGCAAAAGTGCAATAGGTTTATGACTTTTTGGACAATTTTCCCTTTAATTGAAAGTAAATATCATATTTTGTCCAATGAAAATGCAAATGAACCATTAAAGTAACTATTAGCAAAATATTTTTTTTCCTTTTGGAGTAAAAAAAAGTATGGGTGGCTTTAGAACGGAGTTTACCATTCTTTTTGGTGAATATCCGCAGAAATTTCTTCTGGTTGGACAAGGAAACGAGAAAAGATCGTGACAAATAATTTTTCCTTAAAAAATATAAATAGGGTTTTAGCTAAAATAAAATAAAATAAAATGGTAAAAAGAATTGCGCATCCGGGGAATCGAACCCCGGTCAGTACCGTGGGAGGGTACTATGATACCACTACACCAGATGCGCTTGTTGGTATGAGTGTCAAACTTTTTTTTAATTGATTTATTAGAGATATGTCAACCTTAATTTTTCTCTACTTTAAGTACGAGTTTTTATTCTGAATTTGAAGGGGACGACTGCTTATATGGCGCTTTTGGCACTCCGTAATTTCCTTAAGAAAAAGAAGAATAAGTTCCTTCACCTAATATAAGACACAATAACATTAATATTGAGTCTTGCTCCTCTCACGGGTTTGTACGAAAACAATAATGAGATTGTCATTAGGCCCTTGCAAAGTCATCTGAGCCTCATTGATGCCACCACCAATTGTAAATTATAGTAGAGGTGAGCGGTTCCAGATTTCATACCTGAACCTTAAACCTATTTATTGGAACAATTTCCTCAATTTTTTGGAACCTGGAACTTACTATGTCACAGGTTTCAAGGTTGGTTCCAAGATATGCGCATGTTCAACCTGTATTATTAATTGAACGATTATATCGAATCATTAATTATAATTACCACCACTTAGTGCTGCAATCCACTGATCATAACTTATGGTTAGATATACGAAGAATATGAAACATTAATAAAGTAAAAGTCTCAGTAATAAAATGAAAACTCAAACTGTTAGTTTCAAATTATATACTCATCATCGGACGCCATGGAATACTGCAAGATCGCACGAAAACATAGACCTAGAAAAACATAAAAACTTATTCCGAATTCCACTTATCTAGAACCTAGAATCTACTTGTCAAAACAAGTTCCCCAAATTTTGAAGCCAAGAACCTATCCTGCATACCTTGAAATTGGACAAGTTCCCACCGGTTCGATTCTTCAGTTCCAAGTTCTATCCCCACCCCTAATTTAAAGACGAAAACCGATTTATAAGGCATCCATGACCGTCGACGAGCTCATTGCACAGCCACTAAGGGGGCGTTTGGCAAGTTGCCAAATAGTGAAAATTTATGTTCTTTTGTTCCCAGAATCAATTTGGGAATAGAAATCCGTTTATTAAAAATTTTATGTCCGGACCCAAATTTGCAAAAAATTGTTACTAGAATCAGTTTTGGAACAAAATCAAGAAGCAAAAAAAAGTAGCTCCTTGATTCTGGAACAATTTTTCCATTTCTGATTCTTCTTAGTTTTCTTCTTCCTTTTTAGTTTGCTCTTCTTCTTCTTCTCGGTCTGCCGCCGGCCAGGGCCGGCGAGACCTCGTCCAGCCATGGCGAGGGTCGACCTCACCCAGATCTAGCGAGGCCGACCTCGCCTTGGCCGGGTAAGGCTCAACCTCGCCAGATCACGGCGAGGTCGACCCTCGCCCGACCATGGCGGGGCCAACCTCGCCGCCGCGACAGGCGAGGCCGGTAGCGAGGGACGCGACAGGCGAGGCCGGTAGCGAGGGCCGCGACGAGGGCCGCAACACCCTGGCCGGCCCTGGCCTATGGCCAGTCGCCGGCGCCGACGACCGGCAATGGCCAAGGAAGGGAAGGAAAAAAAAGAAAAAAAGAGAAAGAAATATTAAAAATTTCAAAAATATTATTAATAAAAAGAAATTTTGTGTAGTTACCACACGCATTTCTGTTCTTTTCTATTCTAATAATAGAAATTTTGGACAGTTACCAAATACTATCAAATGCTTAGAAATCGTTCCCGGACACAGAATCAAAAAGAATCATTTCTGAGCAAAATCAGTTCCCGGGCACAAAATCGTTACCATGCACACGCTAAGTACCCATAACCCCCCCCAAAGGACTAGTAGTTCCAAATTATGTACTCATCATCGGACGCCATGGAATACTGCAAGATCGCACGAAAACATAGACCTAGATAAACACAAAAACTTATTCCGAATTTCACCTACCTAGAACCTAGAATCTACTCGTCGAAACAAGTTCCCCAAATTTTGAAGCCTAGAACCTATCTTGCATACCTTGAAATTGGACAAGTTCCCATGGTTCGGTTCGGTTCTTCAGTTTCAAGTTCTATCCTCACCCCTAATTTAAAGGCGAAAACCGATTTATAAAGCATCCATGACCGTCGACGAGCTCATTGCACAACCACTAAGGGGGCGTTTGGCAAGTTGCCAAATAGTGAAATTTCTATTTTTTTATTCCCAGAATCAGTTTAGAAACATAAATCCGTTTGTTAAAATTTTTGTGCCCGGACACAAATTTGCAAAAAATTGTTACAAGAATCAGTTTTGAAACAGAATCAAGAAGCAAAAAAAAGTAGCTACTTGATTCTGGAACAATTTTTCCATTTTTATTCTTCTTAGTTTTCTTCTTCCTTTTTAGTTTGCTCTTCTTCTTCTTCTTCCCGGTCTGCCGCCGGCCACAGTTTGCTCTTCTTCTTCTTCCTGGTCTGCCGCCGGCCACTGGCCACCGGCCAGGGCCGGCGAGGCCTCGCCCAGCCATGGCGAGGGTCGACCTTGCCTTGGCTGGGCGAGGCTCGACCTCGCCGTGATCTAGCGAGGTCAAGCCTCGCCCGACCATGGCGAGGCCAACCTCGCTGTCGCGACAGGCGAGGCCGGCAGCGAGGCCGGCAGCGAGGCCGGCGACGAGGGCTGCGATGCCCTCGCCGGCCCGGCTCGTGGCCGCTGCTTGCCCGGGCGGCGACGGGCCATGGCCAAGGAAGGGAAGGAAAAAAAAGAAAAAAAGAGAAAGAAATATTAAAAAATTCAAAAATATTATTAAAAAATTATTAATAAAAAGAAATTTTGTGTAGTTACCAAACACATTTACGTTCTTTTCTATTCTAAGAATGGAAATTTTAGGCAGTTACCAAATGCTTAGAAATCGTTCCCGGACACCGAATAAAAAAAAATCATTTCTGAGTGGAATCAGTTTCCGAGTACAGAATCGTTATCATACACATTAGAGTGTACCCATAACACCCCCACCCCCAAGGGCCTCTCAGTTGTATAGCCAAAAGAAGCGTCACCGCACCATTTCAAGCGATTCGGTAGTCCAGATCTATTTTGACTACCGTCAAAACATTGGAGGACAAGTATGCCTTTCTTTCACTCGACTTTTCTAAAGAGCACGTAATAAGATTCACAGGTGAAATCCACGTCGTGATCCATTATTACTAAAAATTAAGTGGCATCGGAGATTTTCTTTTCTATTTTCAGGGGTTTCGTATGCGCTCTTTTCGGTTTTGTTTAAGTTCTATGATGAGCCGATTATTCAATAATAACCACATGCTCAAAAATGCAAAAGTGCTTCGAGGAGGATTATAATAAATTTTTTGCAAATTTTATCTCTTCTTTTGCGCTTTGCGCTCGACTCGATGCAGAGCAAAGCAAATGAAAACGCGCACGAAACGCGATTAGCCAAAAAAAAAAAAAAAAGGGACCGTCATCCATCGTCAAACTGGAATGCCAGATCTCTCGTGCTTCTCCAAATCTTCGTCCTTCGTCCCTCGTCCCTCGTCCCTGAGATCTTGAGCTCGTAGTGGTGCTCGCAATCCCGATCGATCTCGAGGCGCGCGCATCGGAGCCATGATTTCGTCGCGGAACATCAAGTCCATGGACTTCTACAGGTCAGATTCGATCCAGCTCGCAATTCCAGATTTCGGTTCGCGATTGTGCGTCTTTTTTTCCTCCTCCTCCTCGCGCGCGGGGCGGCGGCGGCGGCTCGATGCGCGCGTGCCGGACGGAAGTCCCGCCCGTGATTCTGCGCTCGGAACGGTTTTCGTGTCTAACGAAACCTATGAGCGTGTTTGATGATATCGCTCGCTGATTCGATACGCGTCTCATTTCCTGGAGACGAGCGGTCCGTGGAAAGTGTTTTCAGCGTGCATTCTCCGTATGTTTGTTTTTTTGTGTTTAAGTGTGTTGCGTGCAACGTTTGCTTCTTGAGTTGACCGCTGTGAAAGAACGAGCTGGAATTGATTGCTAGGAGAGGAGAGGAGAGTTTAGGTAGTCACTCGTCGGTGCAGCTGAACTATGACATTGTTAACGGGTGCGCTATGCATGTGCATAGTGTTTTTAAGGATTTGGCTTTGCCTTTAGTTCTCAATTTGTATCTCAAGAAAAGCAGCGTGGTCGATGTTTTTGTGAAAGAGGGAACCGAAAAAAGTTGCGTACGGGAAGTGAATCCGACAACTCTGGTGTTTAGGGGAGGAGGCGAAATTGGCACTCGCGGTGGTTGTGTTGCTGATGGGTCTTGTTGATGGATGGTCCATCAAATATCTGTCTTGCATAAGACGGATAGGTTTTGTCCGTGTCTGCATCTGCATGAATCTATGCTAGCTAATGTGGGAGAGAGGTTTTTATCTTCACTTCTGTGCCTTGATGGGAAAGTGATAACGGATTTTTTCTGGAGGTACTGGATAAGATAGTTTTTTCAGGGGAAGGTTTAGCAGCTAAGGAGAAGATGAGAATGAGATATCATTTTAAATTGTTTCTCAAATGAGTTTTTCTCATGTTTGTATTGATGAAGAGAATCGGACTCTCTGGAGGCATGTATTGACTTTGAGCTGAATGCATGAGTCGTGAATAAACAGCTGATGCTCGGTCAAAACACTTGGGAAATGGGCATGTGGATTCACATGATGTTTCTTGTGAGAGCATGAATGATGTCCTTAATCAATAATCTGACCTTTCTGCTTGTCCCTTTCTTTTTAAAGTCTTGGAGTGGGGTTTTGTTTGGTGATCTGAGACAAAAAGATATTCTTGATACAACAGTTTTGCTCATTTAAACACAGTGTTTTCTTGGTTAAGTATTCTGATTGTTCACTCTTGGCTACAGGAAAATTCCTCGAGATTTGACCGAGGCATCAATCTCGGGCGCGGGTCTATCCATTATAGCTGCTCTTGCCATGATGTTTTTATTTGGGATGGTATGCACATTGCATCTACTTTTGATAGACTTTGACCTGGTTATGGCTTTAAGAGGGTTTTGGCAGTTGTCAGTTTCTGTTTGATTTTTTGTTCTTTTCTTTTCTTTTCTTTACCTTTTCTACTTTGTGTTTCACATTGGCAATGGATCTGTATCCAGTTAATGTCTCTCCCTCTTAATAGGCAGTAGTAGTCAAGCTAATCACACGGCAACTGTCCCCAACTAGACATCATTCTGCAGGAACTGTGCAATTATTTTGTCTGTCAGGACCTCTGCCTTTTGGGTTGGGGAATAGAGGAGGGAGAAGATGCCCATACTTTTGCCTATGACTTGCCTTTGCCAATTCTTATGAACAATGAATCTTGCCTCTATTAAGTTTTTCTTTCTTGTATTACTTGGCACTATAAGCTGATCTCTCAGTCCTCTTTACTCTTGGGATGCTCATTCTGCAGGAACTGAGTAATTATTTGTCTGTCAGCACCTCTACATCCGTTATAGTCGATAAGAGCACTGACGGGGAATTTTTACGAATTGACTTTAATATCAGGTAGGTCGGATGGTGTTAATAAAATTTCTTCCGGTTTTTATGCACTTGCTGTTGCTGCTTTCTTGTGTTAGCACAGCAAATATGGACGCTAAGCTAGTGCATGAAACACTCGCTTGTCATGCATAACATTGGTGTTTGTCGCACTAAATATGTCCTACACTTTACTTTTGTTCTCAATTATGTTGAGTTAGCCAGACCACATACTGTCTTTTTCCCCTGTTGCACCACATCTCTGCTGCCGGCATATATGTATCCAAGACTGTCAGAATTTTATTGGCTTATGCCTACACATAATCAGCATGGTGTTGAAGGAACATAATTTCGATGGCCATTTTGCGAAGGTGCTTCTATAATTACAATGAGTGGTGTATCGGCAGGTTATTTAGTCGACCCTGGACCAATGTTTACACTTGTATGCAAACATGTCCCTGAAGGAATAGCTGAGTTATGTACACTTGATGCAATAAGTATCCTTACAGGAAAATTATGAAAGAGACCTCTCACATACATTGGCATGCAAGTCTTGATCTTTTTTTTTCCCTATTTGCAGCTTTCCTTCACTCTCCTGTGAATTTGCATCGGTTGATGTGAGTGATGTGTTGGGAACAGTAAGTATCCTCCACTTACTATTGTTCTTTAACAACCTGACTGTGTAATACATGTCATAATGAGATATGGATCATTAATAGCAATTAATTCTTGAGTAGTTTATTGAATCAGCTAGAAATGTAAAAGTTGTTGAACTTCATGTTTTAATTTAAAGGAGAATGTTGCAAAATTGGATTTATTGAACAAGATAACATGATCTAATGACAAATGAGAAAGGCGGTAAATGCTAATCATTTAAATAGGAAATATGGGTTTTGACTTGAAAAATATTGCTATACACTGCTCTCTTCCATGTGCCTGACCATGGCATCGTCTTTTGCAGAACAGGTTGAATATAACCAAAACAGTGCGTAAATTTTCTATTGATCGAAATATGAAAATTACTGGCTCTGAGTTCCACTCTGGTTCAGTTTCACATGCCATTAAGCATGGAGATGAAGCTGATGAGGAATATGCCGAAGGTTCTGTTCCATTAACTTCTCATAATTTTGAGAGAGTTTCACACCAGTAAGTATTTGAAGCTTGAATTACCAAGTTGGTCATATTCAGACCCTTTTAGACTTACTTTTGTGTTGATATACTCCTTATGTTTCTTTATGCCCCACTTTTTTACAGGTACCCAATTTTGGTCGTTAATTTTTATGCTCCTTGGTGTTCCTGGAGCAATCGCCTGGTAAGTTTATCATCTGTAAATTTGCTAACTAATTTCTTGACAAAATTTAATTGCAGCTGTCTCTTGCATGGGTAACTGTTGCACATGTACAATCATGCAAGACATGGGTGGAGAGCATACATGAATATTGAAATTCCTTTTGTCAACCTCATTGATTTTGTGCCTATAGTTGATTCATCAAACTGTAGCATGTCTTAGAACGAGAGCTATTATATTTAGATCCAAAAGTGACAAGTGTTCTTATCTTCTACCTGTCGAATATATTTATAAATTTCTCCAGTTGGTCTAATTAATATTGCGTTTGATGCTCACCTCTGGGTTTTAACGATCGCTATCCGTGTTTGTGCGAATGACCAATCATAGAACTCGGCCAGTTTCATTGTTTAATACAAGATAACGAGTTTGTGAAGATCATAGTGAATGGTCTTGCGTGTTTGTGACTGTTATTGAAATCTGATGGAGCCTATCATTCTATTTCTCTTTCACAGAAACCATCGTGGGAGAGGGCTGCTAAGATAATAAGAGAGAGGTACATCGGCTACAGCTTGTGATTTTTTTTGCTTACAGTTACGATTTAACCGAATTTGTTTGAGAATATGCAAGTTCAATCTCTCAGTTGTTGACAATTGGTTCCAGATATGATCCAGAAATCGATGGACGTATTCTTTCAGGAAAGGTTGATTGCACCGAAGAAGGAGATTTGTGTCGCAGGTATACTGATGATATCAAGCTATTTAACGGTCATCTGTGTGGAAAATGAATATTATGTTTGATAGTTGAATGTCAATCCCATTGTTTTTCCTTGCAATTTTAACACTGGAAACTGAGATAAATGGGCTTGAAAATATTAAGGGTCCATTTGGTTTGTGAGAATGTTTTCAGTTTTAATGAAAATGAAAACAGTTCCAATTTTCATGAAAAGTTTTCTGGTATTGAAACTGGGAAAATGGAAATTATGAAGATCTGTCTGTTTGTGACATTTTAACCAGACTTTGAAATTTTAACAAATGTAATATTATAATCCCCACACAATTCTGTACCTTTACTGAAAAATTGGCTTTTCAAAAAATTGGTTAACTATACAAAAATTGCTACACTTTCATATTTTTACCTTTAGATCTTTCAGTTTTTTTTTTTTTAATGAAAACCTTCACTTGTGGAGCTTCATGAAAGTCACCGCTTCGTAAAACTTCACTGCTTCAATATATAAAAAAAAGGGGGGAAAAACCAGTAAAAAATAAAAGAGAAAACTTTGCATGGCAGAGCTTCGGACATCTGCTTGAGCTTTGTGGTTTGTGCTGAAGCATGAAACATCGTGGTCTTCCTCTTCTCCCATCCTTGATTCAGATGGTTGAAGCTCCGCCTACCTTCACTCGACTAGCAATCATCTATTGATTGAAGCCCAGCTGTGTATTTAGCCAAGACTGCACTGCACAAACAGGAATAAGAAAAAAGACGTGATTTCTAGCACATAATGTAACTGTGTTTTCAGAAGAAAAGAAAACTCTGAACAAGTTATTTTTAATTTTGAAGCCCTCAAGTGAAAAACACATTTTCAAATGAAAAAATTGCGTTTTTAGTGAAAACAGTTTTGAAGGTTGTAACAAACAAATGCTCTCTCTCATTTGAAAATGAAAATTCAGAAAATTTTCTTGATACAAGCAGCCCCTAATGCTTTTAAGGGTTCTACTTAGTATTCTTAGTGTCCCTTACCAAGCTTTGAAGTCCTTGGCTACTCGTCCCTTTTTGTCCCTGTCCCTAAATACCTGGCATGAGGGGGAAATAACCATTTTCTGAACTAAAAGCAGTTTCTGTTGCTGTTTAATGCGTTTGAGCTATGTTTAGAAGACACCCACTAGATAAAAATGGGGAAAATTCCGTCCACACCCTTCTCACAAAAGTTTTAAAATTTTCATTATTTTCCATTTAAGTTTTCATTCCCCCCATTCTCCACCATTTGCCAAACATAGCATTTCTGAGTTTTACAAATGAAAGTGCTGTGAGCCAATGAGACAGTTCTTCTATTGTTCCTGTGAAATAGGAAATATATAGTTTTCTGCACAAGTTTTTGAATCCTCCTAAGTATGAGCATTCAGGTCTAGCTTGCTGTGTGTTTGTGATATAGGTAAAAGCTCCTCTCTTTGGAGTTGAGTCCGCAAAGTGATGCAAATATATTGATATTTGAGCTATAAGAAGAGCTCTTCTGTTGGGGGCTCACAGCTGTGTTTTTGGTTCTGCTAGGAACTCTAGTATTTGTCAATATAAGCATTATCTTGCAAACCGTGGCGATATTTACTACATGTAGTTATTAAGTTGTCCATTAGTATCTGGTGACAGTTTTTGAAATATGTAGAGAATAGTTCTTGTGCAATTATTGGCAGTTAGCTTTTCAGCTAGCAACATACGATCCTCATATCATTATTGTTGACTCCCTTTTGCCCCTTACTCTGTTATATGTTCTTTCTGTTTGTGGATCCCTTCAATTTCTTCCTTATGGTTAACAGTGTTCCTTATGCGTTCTCAGGAATCACATACAAGGGTATCCATCCATTCGCATTTTTCGTAAGGGAACTGATCTTAGGTAACACAGCTATTTTTTCATCTCCTATTCATCTTCCAAATAAGTTATTCAATGACTACTGTTGTGTTATCATTTTGCTGTTAATATGCATTTTCTGCATGTATGCAGATGTCTGTGATTAGATCTCTCCTATCATTTTTATCGCACTAAGTTCTATAGGTGTGCATGACTGAATGAATGCTTGCATTCACTTCTTCTTGTCCCTTTATAGTCTCCTATATTGGACATTAACATGCAAGTTTGCTTTGATCACAGGGAGGACCATGGACACCATGAACACGAGTCCTATTATGGAGATCGAGACACAGAGAGCCTGGTTAAGGTTCGAGCATTCTTTTTGTAGGAACTTAAATTCTTATATCTAATAATAATCTCACGCATGTAGTTTGCCTTGAGAATGGTATGGGTATATTGAGGCATCATTATCTTATGTGGAACTTACATATCCTACAGATGATGGAACAGCTAATTGCGCCAATTCCAGTGGAGTCTGAGAAGCACGCTTCCTCTACTGATAATTCAACAGATAAAATAAAAAGACCAGCTCCTTCTTCGGGAGGCTGCAGAATTGAAGGATTTGTACGGGTAAAGAAGGTAAAGCTAATAGCGCACTTAGTAGAGTTGATGCATTGGAGTCATGTATGATGACTTGCTTCCTTGGGGTGTAGGCATCTGGATCATTTATACCTCACTGATTTTAAATGTTTGGTCTGTTGGCCTGTCTTTAGGTGACACTTAGTTATATTCAACTTCAATCTTTTTCCTTACAGGTCCCTGGCAGCCTTATCATCTCAGCTCGTTCAGGAGCCCATTCTTTTGATACTTCGGAAATGAACATGTCACATGTCATATCACATCTGTCATTTGGTAGGAAGATTTCCCCTAGAGTGATGAGCGATGCAAAGAGGTTGATACCTTATCTTGGTGGAAGCCACGATAGACTGAATGGCCGAGCATTTATTAATCAGCACGATATAGGTGCAAATGTTACTGTAAGTTCAGCATGTTATCTGCAACTCATACCATCACCCGTGTAATGTCAATCCTAGAGGTGCCTGGACATGGAGATCCTGTTTTTCTTTTTCTTATCCCTTTTCCATTTGCAGATTGAACATTATCTTCAAATAGTCAAAACAGAGGTGATAACTAGAGGAACCCACAAATTAGTTGAGGAGTACGAGTATACTGCCCACAGCAGCTTGGTGCAGAGTGTGTACATACCTGTTGTGAAATTCCATTTCGAGCTCTCTCCCATGCAGGTTAAAACAACTATAAGAAATACTTTTGTGGGATTTCAGCTTCTAGTTTTCTCCGCTTTTCTCTCTGTGCATTGAGTTTACATCTTATTCCTCCATTTAGGTTTTAATCACGGAAAACTCGAAGTCCTTTTCGCATTTCATCACAAATGTTTGTGCAATTATTGGAGGCATTTTCACGGTGGGTACTTAACATCATGGTTTGTTTATGCTTGTAGTCTGTTGGTGTTAATATTCTTTATTTGTGTGATTCGCAGGTTGCTGGTATATTGGACTCGATTCTTCACAACACAGTTAGATTGATGAAAAAAGTGGAGTTAGGCAAAAATATTTGACTGAAGTGCATAATGTTGTTTAAGCGGATACTTGCAATTTTGCCTTGCCAGATTCAGCTGCGAGTTTTTTTGGCTGAAAAAGAAAACGCTTGTTGCATGTACGAATGGTTATTACAGTTGCTAGTGTATTGTAGGAGAATCTGAAGAAAGACTAGTGTCAAAGAAGAGCACAGATTACTCATTTGCGTGACTTTTAAAAGAAAACACTTGAGATCATTTTAACTTGCGCGGAGTCCATTCGCTGTTCTAGAAGTGATTTTCGTATGGGAGGATTGCTACTGTTTAGCTTCCTCCCGCTTTTTGTATGTTTACTCGTTCAATACAAGTCCTGGAGTAATGTAGTATCGGTTTCGGATGTATCAGCAAGGGATCAATAGCGCCCCTTCGTTGTGAAATAAAGTGCAATCTCAATACATTCTCAGTTAGGTAGTTTAACCTAGGGGTGAGCATGGTCCGGGTGGGCAGGATGGGCGGTTCTCACCTTGGACCTGGAAATTGCCCACTAAGAACCACTTCCGAAACATTAGAACTGGAAATCGCCCGTTTGTTTGATGGATTCACTTAGAAATCGGATTGGGCCGGTTCAAGGGTGGATCAATAGAACCAGTCCCCAATCGCTACAAAATTGCATTCATCATCAATGCCATGATAAACTTAGATTTTATGTGGGTATTTCTTTTAAAGGGAATATGTATATATCGGTTTGTAGCTAAAATTGGTGTAAATTGGTTTGTTCAGTCTTTGATTGATCGAGGGAAAACAACCTTACCTATTAATGGCTATAACTTAAAAATCTTAATGCCATGATGCCTTTCAATTGGTATATGCACATCAAATTAATCGCGAATTTCACGCAGGCTTGAACAACGTATGCTTACAAAATGATTTCCTTCGTCTTTCAAACGAAGTCTAGACAAATCAAGAAATGAAACTCTACTCGCTTTATAGACGCATGAATGGCGAGTTAATCGTTCAAATGAAGAGTGCTTGTGTATTTCAATTGATGTTTGATGTTCTTCTGGTTTTATTAGTCCACTAAGGCGATCCCGGCGATTTCCGGTTCCTCTGCACATCCCTAGTTAACCCAGCCAAATTGTCTCTAGTTCTATGCCATGAACGCTTCATCTTTTACTGGATAGCAATGAAATGTAGGAGATGCATTTGAAAGTACCGACCTTGCCAGAAGCCCCTGGAATTTATTTATGTTCACATCTACAATGTTCTCATACGGTGAAAACAACTCAACACACTTGTGATATGTAAAACCAATACAAATTCCTCAATAACAAATGTCAGATGCCGCTCCACCTTGCCCAGATGAAGTAGCCGAGCTTGAAGCGAGAAAAATCACAGAGAAGAAACTGGGGTGAAAAAAAGAGAGCAAAAGAAGGTAATTCAGATAGCCGCTGCAAATTCAACGCAATATCGTAATTCCCGATCCTCCGCTTAGAATGCCAGAAGTAGAGATGAAGCCACAAATGCTCCGATAGAACCGGTAAAACCGACAAACACTGAGGTAGCGCCATTCCCGGGTGGTGGTGTTTGGCTGACAGGAGCCGGAGTTGGGTTTATCTCCACCGTACCGGCCGGTGGAGAAGGAGACTCCTCGCCAGAAGGTGCCGGGGACGGTGAAACTGCGCCACTGGTCTTGTTGCTCCTGTCAGCCATCACAACGACCACCATCTTCTCATTCTTGTGGCAGTTGTCTTTGTTTCCGCTTATGAAGTGAAATGGTCCTGACTGGTTGAACTTGAACACGGTGTGGCCATCGACATATTTTGCGATAGGCGATGCATCATTGCAATTTTTGTAGTCGTCTTGGTTCACATATAGCACTGAGTCTTGGCCGGGCGGGTAGACAAACACTGTGATAGGGATCAATGGAGAGAACCAACAAGTCAAGATGAATTGCCGATCATTTATGCCGTTCTTGCACAATATACATTGCACAAAATACATTGTGATAAAGATTGCACTAGTACGATAAAATGCATTGACATACCTAGAGAGTCTCCAATTTGGAAACGGTTTTTTTCTGCCCACTCATTTAAAGCATTTGCACTGGAATCAGCAGGGACGGTCCAACCCTTGGCATCTCCAGCTTTGAACTCGTATGCTTCGCTCCATCGCGCCAACATTGTTGCCCAGAGCAAGACCCCCATCACTTGAAACACTCTCTTCATTTGGCGATCCAATCTCAACATAGGAATTGCCATCGAAGAATTAGAACAGACGAGCAATTCAGTGAGAGAAAAGTCCGAATTCTCTCTTCTGTTCAGGATTGGGATGTGATCTGAGTTCGACAAAGAGTGGGGTTTTTGTAGGCCAGCGGTTGCACGAACTTTACAAGCTGTGGAGGTGAAGCCTTTGTTGCTTTTCCATGTTCTGTGATTTTTCTTTGGATTTCTTAGCCACTGGTGCAAAGTATATGTGCATTACCATGTGAAAGGACTAAACAGATTGTTCTTCGAGCTTCTTTCTGGGGCTCTCAACTTTTTGTTAGACATTGTTCTGCATGTTTATTCTTTGCTTTAACATTGCATAGAATATTCAAACCTTGTGCAGTGGGTTTAGATCTATTACATCTGAGCTGCATACACAGCCTTTTTCGGAGGCAAAAACCGGAAGTCCCGTTGATCTCTGCATTCATCGTTGCGGTCGTCGTTGGTTATTGTATCAAGCTTTAGTCTTTCTTGTATTGGGCGAGAAATCATAACAAAGGCAAACTCTTGAAATTCTTGATTCATTTGGACTTATATTAGTAGTTGATGGGAACGTACATTCTATGATTGGACCCTTAATGAGCTTTTGAGGTAAAAAACTTTGTGAGTCCTGTTGTTTTCACATTGTACCTTGACTCTTCTGTTCGTCATTTTTGGAGCATGGAATGGGAGCTCAAGATTGTGGCGAACATTCTTTGATTATATTTCATTCTCTTTCTATTTGACCTACTACTTGGGACAGAGAAGGTATAATTAAGTCAATTTAGAGATCTCATCTTGCGCACACTTTCTCTAATCCTTTTCCATTCTTTTAGATGATGTCCATGATAGCATAAGTACATTCCTTTACCAAATGTGTAGATATAGAAAGCTTAAACATGAAAATGGTAGGTTTTCTTTGTTGGCCTAATGGCGCAGGACTAGCTCACAGATAATTCGGGATCCCCTCATCCACAGGCTTCAAACCCTCCGGTTGCTCATTGCTCAGCGGACTCGGGAAGCCTTTGCTTCTTTGTGGCGTAGGTTTAGTTATGTTATGGTGCAGGGAAAATTGTCAAAAAAGCCATAAACCTATTGCACTTTTGCCAATTCAGTCCTAACCTTTTAAGTTTATCAATTCAGTCCTAAACCTTTTCACTTCTTGCCAATTCAGTCATAAACCTTTTCACTTCTTGCCAATTTAGTCCATTTGACCGGGCGGCGCTGACGTGGCCGCCCGGCCAACGCTGACGTGGCAATTTTTAAATGTTTTTTTTTAATTTTCGAATTTTCTTTTCTTTTTTTACTGCCTTTTCTCTCTGGCCTGTCCGGCGACCGGCCAGAGGCACGGACTGGCGAGCTATCAGCGCTGGCCAGGCGGCCACGTCAGCGCCGACCGGCCAAATGGACTGAATTGACAAGAAATGAAAATGTTTATGACTGAATTGGCAAGAAGTGAAAATATTTATGACTGAATTGACAAGAAGTGAAAATGTTTATAATTGAATTGATAAACTTAAAAGGTTTAGGACTGAATTGGCAAAAGTGCAATAGGTTTAAGGCTTTTTTGACAATTTTCCCTATGGTGTAAGGTGATTCCAACTCTACTTCCACTCGTGCTGTGGTGAAGCAGCAATGATGGGCTTTCTCAAAATGTGCATTTGTTACAACTTGAACCGAACATTATGTAGTTGGTAATTAGAAGGTTTGGTGCACTAAAAGAAACTATTAAAAATTCAAATTGATTTTTTTTTAATTTTCAAATGTTAAAATTAATAAAAGTTGTCGAGGAAAATTAGTGAAAGACACTCAATCAACAACATCTTCAAAGTATCCCTAATAAAGATTATACAAAAGATACATCCAAAAGAATGTCTAATAAATTCAGTGTTTGTGACGTCGTGTCTATTACCATGATTCGAATAATAAAGTAACCTATGGCCCGGTACATCTTCGTTGGCCTATCACCTTGTTACGATGATAGAACCGACAGGTAAATCATATTGCTGCAGAACTCACTAAATAACGAGAATTAGATCAAAACGTCCACAAGAAGTTAAGGTGTTATGTTTCGATTGCACATGGTTGACCTTTCAATTGAAGATTTGAATCAATCTTGGGGGTCTCATTATTGAAGATTGAAGCTGGCAAATGGTAGTTACATCGTATCAAAGACAAAAAGGTGTTCATCACGGGGACATCTCTTTCCTCTTGGACTTCCGTTCTTAGACTTTGTTCTTGGGTTCTCTCTCTCTCTCTCTCTCTCTCTCTCGCTCGCACAGGGTCTGACCCCCTGTCTTTGTGAGTTCTTCTTCCCGACATTTGTACCGGGAAAAGTGTACTCTGAAATACGTGGGGAGGGAGAAGAGGAACGCTCGGAGTACGCACCCATTTCAAGAAAACAAAGATCTAAGCTAATCGCACTGTGGATGACCAACGAAATCTCGCCCTCTTTGTTCTTCTTTTCACTCGACATACAAAATCGGGAAAAGGGTAATAGATCACGACAAGAAAAAGCGACTTCATTTCCAGACATGAATCGAATTCGATCTGGGCCAAATGGAGAGATACAGAAGTGAAGAACGGACGAGGGAGGTGTCTGAGAATACGAGGAAGGTGATGATGATGAACCCACCAAAAAACCCAAATAAAGAAAGAGGGGTGGGCGATCATTCAGTAATCGAAGGAGTTAAATTTAGACAAAGCGGGCGTGTTTTCAGTAACGCATTAACCGGCTCTGTGTTCCCGTGTGTTGTGAGATGGTCATAACAAACACCAACCCCCCCACAAAAAAAATGAAGTAATTCCCAACCGCCGCCGCCGCTCGCCGCCGCCACCTCACACGTTGACAGGATATCACCGGACGCCACCGCATTGTCCTTTCGGCGGCTCCGACATCCACCTAAGAAACAGCCTCTTCGCAACGGAACCATAAAAAAGAAGAGAGAAAGAAACAAGAAAAAAGGAAGAAAGGGGGAATTTATTCGCTTCTGGTTGATTGCTCTTTCCCAGGATTTTCTTCGCTCTGCGTCGAAGGTGGTCGCCGGACTTGGTCTCGCCGCCGCATTGTGCGTTTCTGGCACTGTGATCCGCGTTTTGAGGAGGAGGACTCATCGTCTAGCTGCTCGTGCCGTTCGACATCGTGAAAAGATTGCATGGAGTTTCGTGTTCCGGCGATCTGGAGAGATCCTGGGGCCCCGGCCGATTCTTTCTACGAGGTCCGGGAGGAATGCACCGACGTTCCCAAGACGCGCTTCAGGATCAAGGTTCCGCATCGGTTGTTTTTCTTTTGTTTCTTGGATTGTCTAGACGTGATGCGTCTTTGATGTTGAAAATATTTCGCAATGTGCTTTTGCGTGGTGACAGATTTGCGGGGCTGTCTGATCGAAGGGTGCGAGCGAATGATGGTGTGATTTAGGAAGCGCTGGTGTGACTTAGAAAATGCCGAATCTTGAAAGCACCCAGCTTTATTGTTTACCTTGTTGAGATTGGATGATGCAAGGATTGGAATAGAAGAAAAGTATTTGAAATGTAGTACTTTGAGTGCGCTTTATCACATTGTTCCTAAGGTTTTAAGAAAGTGGGTGCCGGTTAAATGGTTTCTCTTGCAAGATTTCGAACTTCTGTTACTCGTATTTCTTTTTGTTAAATTCTATTTGTTGTTTGGTGTGTGTGTGTGTGTGTGTGTGTGTGTGAGAGAGAGAGAGAGAGAGAGAGAGAGAGAGAGAGAGAGAGCTTTCTAGGTGTTGCAAGCTTTTAGCAATCAGAAGTGTACACATCACCTTTCTTACTTTGAGTGACTACCATTCAAAGTCTTGCGAGTGAAAGACCATTTATATTTCTGATTGTTCAGTAAATTTTTTTGTACTTCAAAAAGAGAGGTCCCTCTCAAAACAGTAGCAAACTGGAATGACACTGGTTCCATGAGAATAAGAGGTTTACAATCTATAAAGTTCCATATGCTCCTAATCCCCAGAATAATTCTATGACCTGAAATGGTTGTTTTGTGCCTTTTCTACTGTTCATATCAAAGTGGCTAATGCTTTCTGCTTTTCTTGCTCATTTAGGCTGGGAAAACATTGAGTGCAAGAAAATGGCATGCTGCATTTTCTCCTGAAGGGTATCTGGATATAGGCAAGACTTTGAGCCGAATTCAACATGGGGTAAGCATAATCTTATGAGTCTGAGCTTGAGGAGATTGATTTGAGCTATTGCTTTTTCCAAAAGGAAGCAAGAATTTTCTTAAACTAACATTTGAAACCCTAGCCTCCTGATGGACCATTTTCTTGAACTTTTTGATCAAGCTGCTATATATGAGGAGAACATGTTCCAGATTAACTTTGCATATGATGGTTACGTCATGCTATTCCATATTTTTTTCCCTTCCGAAACCATTCCTCCAGGCTGCTTTCTAGATGTGCATATTAGGATGTAAATTTTTCTTGCATGTCACCAACCATGAATGAGATCCGTGATTGCAATAGATTGTAGAAAACGGAACTTCAAAGATTTTGGAGCATGGCCTGTGATATTTTCATTTGTTCTTGTCTACTTCATCGGAAAATGCTTTGTCCTTGTACCTTGCTCAAAATATGGCAGGGACATCTATTCATATTTTATGTTATTTTGTGCCTTTGGTTTATCTTTCCTTACCTGCCTTCAAGATACTTTTGTCGATCTACTTTCCTACTCGATGTTTTGTTGCTTCTCTTAATAACATTAATTCTTGATGCTTTCTACTCCTCCTCTTCTTGTTATATACATTAGGGTATTCATCCATCAATTAGAGGAGAAGTATGGGAATTTCTACTTGGGTGTTATGATCCAAAGAGCACATTCGACGAACGTGAACAGATACGGCAACGTCGAAGGTACCCTATTACAGCTGCTTAATGGAGCTATGAGTTTTCATCATCATAATTTAGTCTTCCATTGATCTCCCTGTTGACTTGGTGAGGGGAAAATTTCCTGTCACATCACTGGTCTCGAAATTGAAAGTAGGTTCTTTCTTGCCTGTATGTGCCCTCATTTTTACTAGTCAGAAATGCAGCTCTTCAAATTGGAAGTGGACACTTTCTTACTTGCTGTGGTCGTCAGCTTCTAATCCAGTGATGCTAACAGATTTTACTGGCATGGCGTGGATCTACATTTCACTGATTCCTCTGTTCACACTTCCTGGATGTGAATTAATATTCCACACTTCCCAACCATCAAGCTATTATAATTTCATTATCAAGAATTTTTTCCCTTTATTTTTTTTTTTTAGGTCATTTTGATCATGGATAGAATGGGAACTCTCTTCTGTTGGTAAAGCAAGCTCTGCTAAGTACAATACCAACTGAATCACAATTCCTCCGTGTATTATATTTGTGTTATTTTTGTCAACTCAAAATGATATTAAATGTGGGGTCCCGTTAGTTCCAAGATTGGTTCACATATCTAGGATTACCTTTTAGAAATCCTTGTCTTGACTCTTGAGACGCTTGTATTTCTCTGAATAAATTCGTCTTGGCTATTATTCCCTTATGAGGAGTTATGGTTTATTGGGCTCAATGGTCTCTCTCCAAAAACTTGCTGCTTGTGCATTTCCGAGCAAAGAAAGTACAAGTCTTCTTATTATGGCATATTAAGCATTCTCATTGATAAGTACATTAATGACCAAGCCAATTATTATGTTGCTTTTCTTTGAACTTTGAACTATTTCTTAACCAGGTGAATGCTATATATCACTAATAAAGGAGAAATTGATTGGGTAATTAAGACATTTCTTCTTGTTACCTATGTTGGGTGTTTCAGAACAGAGCATGAATCCTTGCACCACACTTATGGTTATTTAACTAACCTGGTCTTCGCTTAATTCAACTGCATCATTTTCGGGATTTAGACATTGAATTACCTTTTTCCCATGACATCATCAACCGCATAACTTTATTCATCTTTTCAGGGTTCAATATGCAAGGTGGAAGGAAGAGTGCCACCAAATGTTCCCTCTTATTGGAAGTGGTAGGTTTGTGACCGCACCTATAATTACTGAGGATGGTAAGGCAATCCAAGATCCTATCGTACTCCTCCAAACAAACCCACATGGAGCAGTTTTGACTCCTCAAAATAATTCTCATTCCTCAACCGGCATAGCAACGAATGGTACTGCGCCTACTTCCATGGATACAGAATTTTCCTTTGTGGAAACAGTACAAGAACCCTCAATCCATGTACTTTTGGACAAAAAAGAAATCCAATGGAAGCTCACATTACATCAGATAGGTTAGTTGGAATCTAAATGCACCATTTCTCCAATTATTTATGTTTGAATGGACCATGAAGATTGTTCTCAATTGGGAATATGCTCTTCTATTGTCCCCATCCCCCTTCCTGTGGTAATTCCTTAGTTTTGTTGATTCAAAAAGGGTGTATAGTGTCACTACTTACGAGTTAGTGGATATGCTTCTTGCAGATGAGGAATTTCTCACTTAAATCTACTCTTAAGTGCAATTATGTATGTTTCACCATGCTTTTCCTTGTTCTCTCTGATTGAGAGAAAGCCTGATCCTTAGACCCTCAGCTTTAAACTTTGACAAAAGAGTGAGAACTTATGTTTTATGCACTAAATGTTCCATTCCATTTGCTCTCATTTACTAAATTAAGCTTCTACAGTAAACTTTTAGAATATACTGTAACATATTTGTTCCCACCGTTTGATTCCCATATTCTATATGAAATTTCTGCTAGGTCTCGATGTTGTTCGCACAGACAGGCCGTTGGTGTTCTACGAAAAGCAAGAAAACTTGTCAAAGCTTTGGGATATTCTAGCAGTTTATGCCTGGATAGACAAAGATGTCGGCTACGGTCAAGGTGATTACTTTGTTGAACTTTCATTTATTTTGATAGGAAATGATGAGCGATTGTGGCTATTTATTAATATGGCTGCGTCCAGTAAGCTTTGTCCAGTTTCGCAATGAGCAATCAATTTGCCAGTGTTGCACTCGTCATCAGGGATATGTTCCTTATATTATGAAGCATGTTCTTCTCATCTTTAAATACCTTGGTTGTTGTGCATTACGCTTGCATGTTCATTTGGACCAATTCCTTCTATACAATAAAATACCAGTACTATTAAAAGTTCTTATGTTCAATACAAGGAAATATCAGTATCTAACATCAGGATGAGCATTTGGATGAGGAAATAGTTTTCCAAATATGATTTTCCATAAAGACAGCTTTGTCTAGCATCCTCTTATATTGACTGGTCTTATGTTATTTGCTTTCAGTCTCTATACAAAATCACAGAAATTTCTATTCTTTAACAGTAAAAAAGAGTATTTCTGTGAAAGCTGCTGCATTTCTCTCTTAACGTGAATATCAAGAAGTCTGGAGAGGATTCCTGACATGGGAAAATATGGATACTTGAACATATTTGGTTTTAGCCCCTAGTTTCCTAACCTCCTGCTGAATGGTGGATGATGTTAATTTCATTGTCTGCAATTAACTGAAGCTTGAGGATGATGGGTGACAATAACAGGAATGAGCGATCTTTGCTCCCCAATGATAATGCTTCTTGACGACGAAGCTGATGCATTTTGGTGCTTTGAACGGTTAATGCGCAGATTGGTATGTAATTTCATCTCTCTCTCTCTCTCTCTCTCTCTCTCTCTCTCTCTCTCTCTCTCTCTCTCTCTCTCTAATTCCTACATTTACATGTTTGGGAATGCATACCCATTTTCTGAAGGCCTGTGCCTGTGCATGTGCATTTGCATCTGCTCTCTTTGACCATTTCATTGCATGCCCCGCCGCCCCCCCCACCAAAACAAAAAAAAGAGAGATTGTTCCGATATTGGGACTTGCTATGAAGTTGAAATACAGCTGCTTTACGTTTTTCTTTAGGATAAAATACTAATGCTTTTCTTTATAGGATTGTCACTCTCTTTATGATCCTAAGATTTTTACGTGTATTCTTCTTCGCAATTTTTAAGCGAGGAAATTTCAGATGCACCGAGAGCTCTGTTGGGGTGGAGGCACAACTTAGTAACTTGGCTAATATTACTCAAGTTATCGATCCGAAACTTCATCAGCATATAGGTATTACCTCAATTAAGTTCTCATAGTACTCATAATTATAATTTGTGTTAGTTAGGCGATATGGTGCGATGTGAAAGGTTGTAGCACAGTCACAAGAGCACTAGATGATGTGATTTTGGCCTACCATAGGGCCTACTTAGGATGAGACATGCGGTCTGCATACTGATTTTTGTCTCAGATGCTGGCTTTGACTGGATTTATCTACTAATAAGCAGCCAATTTGCTTTCCTAATCATGTTAACTTCCCAATTCTACCAATTCTATGAATATCCTAAACTTACTGGTTAAGAAGAGCTATGTCTCTGCTTATTTATTAGAATCCCCATTCCAACAGGTTTAAAAATAATGCAAATGCTTCCTGGGGCTCTAGCCTCTTGGCTTGCGTACATAGAGAATGAGGGCATGTGCGGAGCTTCCACTTTGCACATTCCATAGACAGAGTTCTGCATAGCCTTTCCACAAAATCAAATACGCCATTTGATATAATAGATCACGTGGCTATTTGGAAAACCACCCTAACAATACTGTTGATTGCCAAAGAGGTGATTGTGACTCTGACTGACAGGTTTAAGTACTCCCTCGATTCTTAGGACCATCCTCTATAGTACTGTAATTCTTCATTCTTTCTTGTATCCATGATGCTTCTTATGTTCTAATCTTGAAACTATGTTAGCTGAGATGGTGCAATGTGTTCTTGTATTTTCTTGGGTACCTTAAATGTCACTATTGGAAACTTAAGAAGCCTGTTTTCTTGATGATGCACAGAAACACTGGGTGGAGGAGACTATCTTTTTGCTTTCCGAATGATTATGGTTTTGTTCCGTCGAGAATTTTCATTTGGTGACTCTTTGTATCTTTGGGAGGTACCTTTTAATTTCACATGCCTCTCTTTTATCTATATTGTCTACTGAATGCGCATTTGTTTATTCTCATTACTGAAATATTGACTATTCTGGACCACTTAGGCCAAGCCTTTTTGACTGAGATGCATTAAGTCTTGGTGCCCAAGATATCATATGACTTGTAAACCAATACTATTGACCAACAGATACATTGAAAGTTTGCTTATGATATGACTTAACTGCTGCTTGCATTTAATGTTGAGGCAAAACATCCCAATTTTCCTTGTTTTAGCCATTACTTTTACAGTTATATTATTCAGATTCCATGGTTTGGGGAAACTACTCTGCATAGTGATACCTAATTTGACAGTGATTATTGTCTTATAAGCTTGACTTTGCTTTCTGTCAACATCCTCATACCACTAATGCAGTAAGAATCTATTAATATGTCCCCTCATAAATGAACTTTTACAAGCTTCTAATAAGTTGGTAATTCATTTCCCTGTCCATCTGGGCAATGATGCCACTATCTGTGGCTAACCACCGTTAAGTAGCAAATTCTCATGTATACTGGTCTGAGCATCAGATAAGAATGACCAACCATAGTGTTTTTGCTTAATGTCTGGTCTGACTGGCTCTGCTCTTTAACATATGCTTCATACTTGTTTGGTTAGATGCCAGTAAGTTTCTTTAACGTTTGGCAAGAGGGTGGATTAATAGGCAGTTGTAATTGAGTGTAACATATTGTGATGATACATCTCAGATTCTCCCGGGGAAATTGGTGTAATGTTTTCTTTCTGAGTTTACCTATAGATGCTGAGTGGTGTCAAAGTACTAGCCTATGATAGCTGCTTCTGCTTGAATGGACTTGTAGCTAGCACGAAATTGGTACCTTTGTGTGTCCTTTTTTTCCTCCCCACTCACTCTCTTTGGCTATCTTTACAAGTAGGAATGACCCGTGACATATCAAGTTCTCTTCCACCCCGTTTGTCCGACCATTTTTTGTTATAGGAATTTTTACATTATCCTTCATTCTTTTCATTTTATATTTCTTTAGCATTAATGTATAAAAGAATTAGTGACTTATATTACAGATGATGTGGGCCTTGGAATATGACCCAGACTTGTTCTCTATGTATGAAGAGCCCGATTTAGCTGGTGAAAAAGCTGATGGGTCTAAAGGAAAAGCCAAGTCAATACGACAGTGTGGGAAGTTTGAGAGAGAAAATATGAGAAACGGAGCAAAGAACTCTGATGCCCCTCTGCCCATCTCTATTTTCCTTGTTGCCAGTGTCTTGAAGGATAAGAGCTCAAAGCTCTTGCAAGAAGCACGGGGCCTGGATGATGTCATTAAGGTTAGCTTAATAAAGTTGAGACCCTTATTGGAGTTTTGATTTTGCTGTTATTTATTTAGAAGTGTAGACAAGCATACCAATTCATTGTGGCAAACTGAAAATGTTTGACTAGATCACTATACAGTATACCTAGTTATCCTAAACTTAGCTTTAGGATTCGCTACAAGATGATTAGATTTTTCTTTCTTTGAGAAGATGATACTAGGACTTATACCTTTAGGGATATTTTTTCAAGTGAAAGAATTACTTCCCTGTGGATGATTGGTAAATTAGGGCGAGAGTTTTCTCTTTCTTATATGATGCAATGCACATGACGTGTTAAAATATCTAACTTCACCTGTTGTCTATATAAATGATTATCCTTTATAGATCTCTTACTTAATCCATTTTATCCCTCTCCAGATACTCAATGATATGACTGGAAATCTGGATGCAAAAAAGGCGTGCAGTGGGGCTATGAAACTTCACAAGAAGTATTTAAAAAAGGTACCATCTTCTCATTCTTTCTATATGTAATTATCTGGTATCACCTACTCATTTTTTCGCTTATTAAATTGCTGGCTTTGATCTGACATGTAGTCGTCATAGCCTAGAAGTTAACTCGTTAGTCGTTACATAAGAATCAGAGTATCTTCATGGTCAAATATTGTTCAGCACTTCATTTTTATATGATGTTTTTTCCCTTTCAATGAATGGTCCTGTTAAACAAAATGAGTCCATTACGGAACAATGCAGTAGAAATAATTGAGTTGCCTTATCTGCTTAGTTTGATGATATTCCAGCCAAAGATTATACTTTGAACCCAAATTCTGCCCAAACAAATTTAATTTTGTCTCTGTAAATTTGACCAATATAATCCATTCCATTATCTTAAGCGGTTGTCCCAGGTCACTGTGATATCAAGTTTTTCTTTTCATCCCAAGAGAAGAACGCAGTATGAGAGTTGTGACGAACTAGTTTAAAAGAGGTCGATTTGAAATGTCACTGTAGTTTAAAATCAAGTGCGACCAGAGGGTCTTTAGCAAGAAAAAGAAGAAACAATGAGAGGGCGATCAACATATCAGCTGTTGAATAGCTTTCGATGCTACCTCTTACAACTCCTATATCATTTTTTTTCCTGCAGGCTAAGAAGACATAGCAAAAACTGAAGCATCCCTGAGATCTGATGCGAAAAAAGGAGGAACTGAGATTCGCCTCTCGCCGTCGGCTTATGATTCCAGAGGAGCTGTACAAATATTAAGTGTATCTTTCTGTATTCCTAAAGAAAGACAAACAAAAGACAACAACTTACTTGAACTGATAACTAATTTGTATGTCAGTTCCTCATAAAATCCATATCTCCATTGGAGCAATCTCTAATAAAAACAGTTCCCAAATATGTTTTCTCTTCTAAAAATGATCTAGGCCAAGAAGTTGTCAAATATGTTGAATTATTCAAGAAATATTTCCTCCCCATTTCTTGGTGCCTGCATGTGCAAATTGTGCATATGCATGTGCTGAAGCATGTTTTCTTGCTGATGGGCAACGTACTCGTTGGAGGAGGCTGGCTGTGGCTTCCACATTGGTGAGGACTCGTATTATTCATTACCTCTCTAATAACAGTTGGAATTTAACACTAATGCAATCATTTTTTCCCAACCTTTTATTCATTATCAATTTTTTTCCTCTCTCTTTAATTAATTTCAGAATTTTAAAACAACTCTTTTTCTCCTTTTAATACTAAAAATGTCAAATCGGTAACCATGTTACCGTAGTTGAGTGTGTTAATGACGAAAGGCCTTGATTGTACAAATTACACGAATTAAAGGATTTGATTAACAAAAATTCGGAAACGGAAGACTTAATTGCACAGAGGACATAAATTAAGAGACCGAAAACAAAATTGTGCCATCAAAAAACTACACAATACAAATCAGTGCTACAGCGCATCAATGTTTCTATTAGTGGGAAAAAAAAAATTTGTTCTAAATAATGCAAATAATAGCGCAAACGGAGCTTTTTTATCTGGGCCCATATTGAGGCTGTTTTCTCAAAAAGTACTCAATGTGCACATTGACTCAAATAAAGTTTTGAAATGGCCAATTTAGTCTGAAATAAGATCCTATACTCACATACCGGTCAAATCTTTGCGAGCCGGTTTGTACATGCAACTCATGTGATTATTCCGGCGGTGATTTCACTTTATGAGATGCACCTGGCATATGCAAGAATGTTTAGCATGAATGCTAGCTTCAATATAGGATTCTTCAACTTGGGTAAAATCAAAACATTTCAGACAAACTAGCCCTTGATGCTACCATCGAAGTAAGCATGTGAATCACACCAGCCAACAAAGATTTGGCCATCAATGCGCTCAGACTCTTATTTGAGATTAAATTGATCACTTTATGACCTTATCCACTCTGGGAAATCTTTTAAAAATATGGCCTCGCCTCACTTCAAGCCTTTCTTTGAAATTCTCTCTTACCTATTCTTTTATTTATATCAAGCAAATACCACAAAAAACCCTAAATATGACCCCTGAGACACTAATATACCAAACTTCTTTTGTGTCACCAAAAACCCCAAATTTGTACTAATATGACAAAATTACCCTCCGTCAACCACAAAGACCCCTAAACTTTGCACATTGTGATAACAATATCCCAAACTTTGTTTTGATACCACCAATATCCAAAACTTGTACCAGTATTACAAAAATACGCTCTATCTACCACCAAAAGCCTTAAACTTTGCCCATTGTGTCACCAATACCCAAAAAAAAAAATTGTCACAATTACCCTTAAACATGCACTAGTGACGAAGGGTGTTCTTGTTGGAATCGACTGGATATCATTTTAGTCCAAATAATAGTTTTTTTTTTGTGGTAGACAAAGATATTCTTGACACACTGGTACAAATTTGGGGTTTTTTATGACAAAAAAAAAATATTGGATATTGATATCATAGTGTGCATAGTTTAGTAGTTTTGGTGATACAAAAAAGATTTAGGGTAATAGTGTAACACAAAAAAAATTTCGCAGAAATTTGTCAGTGGACGCTCTTAGAGCACTTATTAAGGTACCGAACGCAATTTCATTTTTCTATTTCTGGGACAAGTTCTTGTTCCAGAAGCGATTCTGAACCAGAAATCAGAACAAAAAAAGAGTTGGTTTTCTATTTCTAGACAAAAAAATGAGAATCATTTCTGAGAGAACTCTTTCTTTAAAACACATGTTCATTTGGAAGTCACAATCTTTGAGGTGGGAAAAAAAAAGCAAAAAATCAAAAATTTCAAAACTTCACATAATGGTTTAAAATCTGTGGCTACCCACTTTGAGCGAAATTTAAATTTTTTTAGGTGCCGAAAAAAATAAAAAAAGGTCAAAAAATCAAAAATTTCAAAATTTCACAAAATGGCTTAGAATACCTGTGGCCACCCACTTTGAGAGAAATTTAATTTTTTTTAGATGCCAAAAAAATAAAAATAATCAAAAAAGAAAAAATTTCAAAACTTCACAGAATGGCTTAAAATACATCTGGCCACCCACTTTGAGCGAAATTTTATTTTTTTAGGTGCCTCAAAAAATAAAAAATAAAAAGCAAAAAATTAAAAATTTTAAAACTTCACATAATGGCTTAGAATACCTGTAGCCATCCACTTTGAGCAAAATTTAAATTTTTTTAGGTGCCGAAAGAAATAAAAAATTTCAAAAATTCACAGAATTGCTTAGAATACCTATGGCCACCTACTTTGAGCGAAATTTAATTTTTTTAGGTGCCGAAAAAAATAAAAATAAGCAAAAAAGCAAAAATTTCAAAACTTCACAGAATGGCTTAGAATACTGTGCCACCAACTTTGAATGAAATTTTATTTTTTTAGGTGCGAAAAAAAAAAAAAAAATCAAAAATTTCAAAACTTCACAGAATGGCTTTGAATACATGTGGCCATCCACTTTGAGTGAAATTTAATTTTTTTTAGATGCCGAAAAAAATTTAAAAATCAAAAATACCATTTGGGCACCTAAAAAAATTAAATTGCACTCAAAGTGGGTGGCTAGAGGCATTCTAAGTCATTTTGTGAAGTTTTAAAATTTTTTATTTTTTTATGTTTTTAAATTTTTTTCGGCACCTAAAAAAATTTAAATTTCACTCAAAGTGGGTGGCCACAGATATTCTAAGTCATTCCATGAAGTTTTGAAATTTTTGATTTTTGCTTTTTTTCACCTCAAAAAATTAAAATTTCACTCAAAGTGGGTGACCACGTATTTTAAGCTATTCATGAAGTTTTGAAATTTTTGAGTTTTTGAATTTTTTAGGCACCTTAAAAAATTTAAATTTCACTTAAAATGGGTGGCCACATGTATTCTAAACTATTCTGTGAATTTTTAAAATTTTTGGAATTTTTTATTTTTTGATTTTTTTTTGAAAAAATTCAACAAATTTCCTATTTTCTAGAAAAATATGAATTTTTTTATTTTTTGGAAATTGTGATGAATTTTTCTAGAATTTTTCAATTCTTTTGGATTTTTTGAATTTTTTTGAGATTTTTAGGAATTTTTTGGATTTTCTAATTATTTTTATTCCATTTTTTAAAAAAAATGGATTTTTTTTCCTGGAAATAGAATTTTGTGTTGTTTATCAAACGAGTTTTTGTTTCAGGAAATAGAAATTTTTTGCTGTTATCAAACGGGTTTCTGTTCCAGAAATAGAAATTTTTTGTTGTTATTAAATTGGTTTCTTTTCTCATAAACTCATCCTAGAACCAGAAATAGAAAAATCTATTTCTGTTTCAGGAACTCATTCCGGAACAGAATGGTTATCATTCGCTACCTAAGTGACAAACTAAGGAAACATTATTGTTGCTGTACTAATGCTTATAATGAATAATGTAATCAATGTTTCAAAAATTCAAAATTTTCTTATGAAGTATGTTTAAGGAGTGACCGAAGACACTTTTCAACAAGTCTCGATCACAGCAGTCCGTTCAGTGGGATCCAGGCGGGACCATGTGTGGAACACAGAAGGAAGTTGATGGCTGTGATGGACCCGGTTCCCATCAGGTCAGCCACCACGTTAGGATTGGATGAGCAAGACAGCGATCCTATGGTGATCCTCGGTTCACCAGCATCTGCGGGCCGAGGCGTCTTGGTCCAATGCCAAGATCGATCCGCGCAGAGGAAAGAAAATGGGAGCGCAAGATGCGACCGCCGATCGCGTCCGTCGTATTTGCCAAGCGCTTATTAGAATCGCTCCGGCACTTGGAGCGGTTGGGTGAATGATACTGGAAAACCAGCAACAGTTGCTGCAGTGATGACTGATGATGAGGCATGTGAAAGGATTTCGGGGGGCGAAGAGCACACGTTCAGTGACGAGGTTCAGAGGGAGATGTGCATGGCGCTTGCCGATAATCCCAAATTGCCATATATGTGAATGTGAATGCGGATGCAAAGTATTTCGAACTCTCTCTTTCATTCATTTTACTGCAGATTCTCCTTTGCTAACAGCAACATAATTGTGTTACGTCAAGTTCATGAAGACCATTCTAAGTAGATCGTCTATCTATGCACCTGAAAATCTTCGGCCCGCTCTCAGTTTATCGATGAAAATGAAAACACATTGCCAAACTCATGGCGTGTGACTAAGCCTTCGAATAGTTGACATCATCATGCGTTTGATCTTTGAACTTGTTACACCCTAACTCTCTTCATTTGAGAACCAAACCAATATATACTACAAGCAACGTCATATGGGTACATGAATCTACAAAACCAATCAAAAGACTAGGACACATCCTCCTCTCACTTCAGACCGTAAACAAAAACAAACATACGAGAGACCGTGAGATCAGCTTCACCTTTTTTTGCTTTTAACAGTTAATATCAAACACCATATTTATCACGAGGTCGATCGATATTTGGAGGAACAGCATATGCACAAGAATAGGCAAACAAGCGTCAATGGAAGAGCTCTGTCATCAGCAAGAAAGTCACAATCCCGATGACTACAACTGGCAGAGAATTAGTACTGAATCGGTAACCCGCACTTCGAAGTGGTATACTGGAAGGAAGCGAACACTCCTCCCCGTTGAAGAACACCTTTGAGGGGAACCCGTCGCCCCGCAGTATGTTAATGCCCGGAGTAGTTTTCTTCGTGAAAGATATGACCGACTGCTGCTTTCCAGGCACTCTCGGATCGACTAACGGGTTGGTTCCGTTGGTTTCACCTACCAGGAAATTCATTCCAGGTGTGCCTTGGAAGAAGATGGTGTCGTTAGTTTGCGGAAGCTTGGTTCCGTT